AAACAAAACAAATTAAAATTAAAAATTATTGTAGTAAGATGATTGCGCACTTACAATGTGAAGCATTAATAATTTAATTATTTCTGTTGTACATTGATAAAGATTCAAACAAAGAGATCAAAATTTTTTGTCTGTAATTTTTCTTGAAATTTTATAAAAAGCACATACACGAACATTTAGTGGTTTTGCTCGCATCTATCGAAATATGTCGGTTCATCATCCCACAAGTTTATTCAATTAGTATTTAATACATTTCAATATTTAATACATTTTGTTCATACAGTTTGATAATTAAAATGTAATGTTGTGATTTATTTTATTGATTTGATATATACCTTTAGATTTGACGTTACGTTTGAGAAAAAGGAATTAATAGTTGCTTACATCCAAACACTTTGAATTGAATTGGATAACAGGAGAAAAACGGAAACTTGCAGAAAGCTATTTAGAAAACGTCTTAGGGATTCAATCAAACAAAAATTCTCCAAAGAGTGATCTAAATTCCGATGAAAACGATGTCTTTTTTGTTCCGTCGACAAACAACACAAGATGAATCTACAAAAAGAGTTGCAAAGATTTTTTTAATCCAACAATTTAATTTTTGAAGCGTTACAAGATCATCCAAAACTTACACAACTCTTTATCGAATATAATACTGTACTTCCCAGTAGTGCCGCCGTTGAACGATTATTCAGCATCGGAAGATTAATACTAACACCACAAAAGAGTCGTTTATATGATAATACGATGGAACATCAACTTTTATTAAAAATGAACAAATTGTAGTTTTAAAAATATATCTTTCAAGAGAGATAAATCTTTAAGAAATTTATCGTGATAAAATATCTTTAAAAGGGTGTCTCTAAAGAAAAATCTTATCTAACTTTACATTATTCATTTACAGGACATATATTTTATTCTGAGAAAGAAAAGACATCTGTCAATTTCAATTAAAACTCCGAAAATGGCCATTTTTATTCTAAATGTGTGTTATTACACTTATGTAAATTATTTAAAATCTACTTAGAAATTATTTGTATTTAACATTTGTGCCTACTCTCTTTTCTCTATTATTAATAAGTACTAAGATTATTTATATCACACATGTCATACTTAATTGTTTTTATTGTTAAGTTTACATTTATGATAAAATAAAATTTTTAAATGTGTCTAAAATTTTTTAATACATTTTAATGTTTAAAATATATATCTTTATATATCTTTAAAATTATAAAACTATAAATATGCTTTATACAAGTTCCTTTTTTTCTGGTGTTCTTTCTAAATGTAAAAAAAGTCGAATGATCTTTTATGTAATCACGTTTTAGTAACAAAAAGTAATGATTCTATAGTCGTTACTTTTAAGGAACGGTAACGCGTTACTTTTTACAATCGGTAACGAGTAACGGTAACGAGTTACTTTTTTCAATAAATAACAAATAACGATAACGCGTTGCTTTTTAGAAGTAACTGTCCCAACCCTGCTTATTACCTGTATGATTTCAATACCGGTATTATACTAGAGATTGTATACCGAAACCGATATAGTACCGAAATTGAGTGTTACCGTTACCGTTATAGTACCGAAACCGATACATTACCGAAAACCGTAATAAAATACCGGTATTATTTCGGTATTCCTACTAATGGTATTCTAACAACTTATATAGATAGGTTAGGTAAGCTATATTGCTTAATTAAAGCAATTTTTGTTGCATAATTAATCTTTCTACCGCTTATTGGACTTATGGATCGACAAAATATAAAGACGCTTTTTTTAATAAATCAATTGAAGCAGCTATTTCTTCATGCTTTCTTTTATTACGTAGCATGACTAATGTAAATTCATGCAAATAAGTCAAAGATACATGTGCCAATAGATTTGTAACATGATTTTCCTAAAGATATATTTTATTTAAAAAATAATCGACGTCTAGTATACCACGTACATGCGCAACTCGTATCTCTAGAAAACGTATTACTATTAAAATCTTTCTCTACAAAATCTATTCTACGAAAGAAATACTATCAATAAGTAACGCCAAGTAAAGTCTTGTATACATTTTTGTTATAAAATATAAAATATTCCAACTAGAAAATTTAAAAAGTGTTATGCCACGGCCACCATGTGTTTTATGGTTGCTAGGCAAGCGGCGTTGAATATTACTCTAGAAAAAGTATTACTCTAAAAATTTTTCTCTACAAAATCTATTTTACAAAAGAAATGATA